CAGCAGGAACGTTCCCGTTTACTTTAGTGGAGATCAGACCCTTGCTTGTTTTGTTGGTCGTCACGTTTTTCTGTAGCAGTGAGCCAGGTGCTAGTCTTGAACTACAGCAGGATGATCCGAATGCTGATGCTTTTAGTATAGCATGGTGGACGGAAGGGCGGGTCATACATTTCATCTACAACACTGTGGTTGCCATAAGATGTCTATAGGACAGGGGTGGGCAATTATTTTGAGCAGAGGGCCGCTTACTGAGTTCGGGCAAGCCATCGAGGGCCGCATGACAGGCAGCCCAGGGCAGATTAATATTAATTTTCTAAATTTTTTAGGGGCCCCACGAGCTAGATAGAATGGCCCGGCGGGCCGCATCCAGCCCCCAGGCCTCATTTTGCCCACCCCTGATATAGGATGTGAGGGATCTCCCGAGTGAGACAGTGCAGCTGAGCAAATGAATCCTGGGATTTACAGTGAAAAGCCAAAAAAATATTTCAAAGGCCTGATACAAAACTCCAAAATTATTGTTTAAAATGCTGACAATGTAGACTAAAGTTAACATCCCTATGGGATGGGAAATAGACAATTTGGAGCCCCCACCACCACCTGCAAGTGTAGCATTGGCTGGTTCCTTGGATGGAAGTTGCAAAATTAAGATTTATTGCTCCTTGGCATGAGAGAAACCAATGATGTCTATGCAGATCAAGGGTTCAGTTTGGCGTTCACACACAACTTCTGACTTAGGGTTTGGAAAAAGTGAATGGGTTACTAAACCCGTGTGTCAGAATCCTCTTCTGCCACTCGTGTCACTTGGGCTCACTGAAAAAACACTGCTCCAGGCAGCTGAGCTATAAAAACACCCACACCTAATTGTCCTAATAAAAGTATCTGTTAGCTCTAGAATTATTGGACTTACAAAGCCTCATTCGCTGGCATTAACCCACAGGGTTGTCATTCCAGGATGGCTGCATGAGCTGCTGTAATTGTGTGGTAGTTTGCTGTTTAGCACATGGAACGAGGATTGAGCCAGAGGATGCATTTCCTGCTTTTATATAGTTGGATCTGAGAGAGAGTCTTCATGCACAGGACCTTGGAGAAGGACTTAGAAGGGAAAATTCAGTGGGCAGGATGAAGCCCACTGCTTCTGAGCCATTTAAAATATCAGATCCCCACCACAATCCTGTGACAGGTCAGTAGGGCAAGGACAGAGGAACCTAAGCAAGCACCACCCTGTCAGCTCGGTAATTAAGCTCAGAAGTCTTTCCAAAATGAGGCACTTTAGGGCAATTGCAAGGAGCGGCGTTTGATGCAGGAATTACGGGGTGAAATGCTGGGGCCTCTGATATGCAGAAAACCAGGTTAGATGTTCCCAGTGGTACCTTCCTGCCTTGCAGTCTCCAGTCCAAACATTTTGAAGGAAGAACTAAAGAAGATCTTCATTTGCTTGGACTCTGCAGCCTTTCCCAGAACTGAAAGGCAAGTTAGCTATGGTTGGATTTGGTCCTGGCCATTTCAGAGAGGACCTGGCTCAGCCATAGAGCGGCAGCTGGGAGGGAAGTAGAGATGGCCGTGCTGTCACTGCTGATTGGCACTGCCACCCCTGCAGCTGTGAAGGTGATCTGGGATCCCTAAATTCCACCGCTCTAGGTTTCTGGACCCCTAGAAGCCAGCCCTAGATGTCTGTGACCTGTAGAAACACTGATGCCAGGAGTGAACCCCTGGTATTTGCTCCGAGCAGTTTTGCTATTACTATTTTTAAGCCCCTTGCAAGGTAAAAAGGCTTAAGAGTTTTGCAAATTAATCGCTCAGATTCTCCTTTGCATTCAACAGTCTCCCGAGTTGGGGCAGCGGATGGGCTGCAGCCAGGGGCTTTTTCAGCTAGCAAAGGCCAGTTTTGTCATCACCCCTGCAGCAGCTTGTGGGTGTCTGGTGCGTGTGCATGGAGGTGTCGCTAGCTGGGCCCAGCTCTCCTTCGGTCGTGCGACAGCAGCCTGTGGAGGTATGGCTGGCGGCCACGATGTGTCAAACGCTCTTGAACGAAAGACAAGAAATAAACGGCTCTGAGCAGGACGCAGGCCGTTGCCAGAAGCGCAGAGACCATGTGTTCTCAGGCTTAGAGCTGAAACAGATGAAGATAAAAATCCTACCTAACTCAAACCCCAACAACATGTTACTTCGAACCATCATGTGAGTGCTCCTGGGTAAGAGAAGCATTAACAACACCCCTGGGTTTCTGCTGATAGGTGATTATTTGCTTGAGAAATGCCCATTCAGTAATGTTGCTTGATTATAATGACCTGAGTGCATAAGGTTGCCTGTTAAATAATGGCAAAGCATCAACCGTGTATTGAGTATCGAGGGGCAGCGACTCTTCCAGTGCTGTGGCATGTATAGGTACTGTTCAGTCTGCAGGCTGATGTGTAAGCCGATAGACTTGTGTAGTGAAATATTGGCCTGATATGTCAAGCGCCGTACACAGCAGGAAGACTCTGTCATGCAAATAACCATATAAAAATAGGAGCAGGGAAGG